TACTGCTGGGTGAATCTGCATATATGCGGTCTTATTTCTCAACTAGTTGTGTAGTGTTAATCTGCTGAAGGAATGGAACAGATTAGATGGTAATAGTTTGGTTCATTATATCCCTATTAACTGCACTACTAAAGATGAGCACTTTTTTTTTTTTTAAAAAAAAAGGCATTAGCTGGGCGCAAAGGCTGTCTTACAAGTTTATTTCAAGGAGTATTTCTTTAGTTATATTCCTAATTTAAGTGCTTAAACTGTTGCATTACATTTTAAAAATATTATAAATATTTTTAGTTGATTTGGGTAATTAGACATAACTCTACCCAGAAAAAGCAGTAAAATGACTAATTTGAATTTTCAAGCATCCCTTTAGCACTCCCTGCTGATCAAATCTCACTGTGTTCACGGTCACTTTACCTCCTGTCATGTGCTAACATCATTTCATTATCTACAAATCTTTAAAATAAAGCCTATTCAGCATTGCTTGATAGTTGCCTTGTAAATATTTTATGCAGTGAGATGTTTCGGATAACAAGCTGTTAATGGACACGATCATGTTGTGTGCGGAGGGATCAGGTGCTTCCAGGTGATTTCCTCTGTGAAGTCTAGACGTCTCGATCACTCTTGTGTAAAGAGCCCTGATCTGGACTAGGGCCTTGCTGAGTACAAGCACACAAAACAGCACCTTTATTTTTGGCCCTGTGAATTTTTGGTATGAAAAAACAGTGACTAAAAAAGTAGAAGAAAAGAGGGAGAATGTATGAGTATAATAAAGAGATCATATACTTAGGCCTTTAAGTTTGCTGATTGTTTTTGTAGTTCTGAATAATTTATCAGATTTTTTTTTTTGTGGTTTAGTACTATTAGCTGTTCTGGTACTTTGCTATACCAAATGCAAAGATGATATTTTTGATATGTGCATGCTTGCTCTCAATATCAGTCATAATGTTTCTATAGTAGAGATAGACATTTTTTGAGAAAACAATTATATTTTATTCTGAGACACATACAGAAATGTGTATAAAACTATGATACAAAACCAAACGAAGGCTTTTGCATAATTCGTCTCTATCTCCCTTCACTGCCACCTCCATCCTTACTATCTGCTTACTCCCAAATTATTTTTGCAGTGAAAACAAGCTAAAGAAATTTCAGCTTGAACTATCATTTTCTTTTTAAGTATTTTGGTTTGGAGAAATAGCAGTGCAAAGTTTCAGAGTTTAAAAAGCCCTATGCTTGCAGATGACGTTTTTAATACAGTGCTGCAAATACTCAAACTGCAGAGGCTATAATTTGCTTTATCCCCAAAGCAGCAAGGAAATTTTTATGTACATCACATTTCTCTAATTCAATAACAGGCTTTCCCATTTTGTGCTAGTGCTGTATTCTCTGTGTACAGTTTTGTCCTGATAAAACCTTATTGAAGGGTGGAATGCCTACCCATGATGCGTATGTGTTACTTGGGATATGAAATTGCCTTATTGATCTTTTCAGCTCTAAAAAGTCAAGTGGAAGGTCAGCGTGGGTAGCTATGCTCTCCGGAAAGTTTGTACTGATAACCATTTTCAAAATCTGACCAAGCACTGTGCAGTCTGATGCTGTAGTATACTATTTCAAGTAATTTTAGGCATCAGAAGTGTCAGGTCTTGCAAAAAACTCCTTCAGGACAGAAATGGTATTGCATTGATATGATTTCTAAAGAAATCCATCTATTCCTAATTGCTCGTTTCTCAAGAATCATCAAATCAAGGCAGCTTTTTTTCTCAGGCAAGTAAATGCTGTCTTTAAAAAAATAACAAAAATGAAATAAAAAAGATAGCGAAAACAGCCCAGCAGCTATCAGGAAACCAAAGACGCTGCTCAAACAAGCAAAATGTAATTAATCTGGTTGGACAGTGTGTTGACCTAAAGTTAATGATAATGAACTGACTAGCCTGTCTCACTGCAGGCTGCAAATGAGACAGTACTTCTTCCTCCTGCTTATTTGTAAGTGCTGTTGATGAGCAGCTTTCTCTTTGCCCGGTGCTTTAGTTAATCCCTCCGATTTCTCTCTCCGTTGCTGCTGGGCCCCCACGTCAGTGCTGTCCGTCCCACCGCCTCAGACCTGCTAAAGGCTGCAGCGTGGAACTCAGCGCCTGCTTTCAGGTCGTGTCTGCAAACCCCGTGCCGGGCTTCCTCTCTTGTCTGAACCCTGCTGGAGTGGCGAGACCTGGGAAGAGCAGGTCCTCCCCGCTGTCCAGGTACAGACCAGCCTCTTGGCTGGAGGTGGTAATCTCATTGGTGTTGCCTTCCACTGGAAACCTTAAAGCCGAGCAAATGTGGAAGATTCTTCCAGTTTCACTGATGATCAAATTGCTTGGGGTACGGAGGAAGGAAGCCTGGGCTCCAAACTGGTAGCCACTGACGGTCAGGTCATCTCTTCTCCTTTGAGCAGTCAGGACTATTATCTCTTCAGGCACACTTCAAAATAGAAAAGTTTTTCCTGGACACTGCATGTTATGACTTAGCAAGGTTATGAAATCAAACCTACTGTTTATTTAAAAAACAAATACTGCCCAACTCCCTTCCCTCTCTTTTCTATTCTTCCTCCTCCCAACACCCGGCTGTCCTTACATTACTGCCACTGTGGGATTTTTTGCGTGGCCTATAGGTAGTGTTGCTGTTTAGGCCAGGAGTGGGAAACTGTGTGTATATCCTCAAGGTAATTTAGGTAGATAAAATAATGATGACTAAAACAACAGCTTAGTAGGTGAGGGTGGTTTGTAACTTGCTGTTTGCAGCATAATCAGAGAGAGATTACTAGAAAGAGTTTATTATGAGGGAACTCATTTCAAAACTCAATGTGATGCAAACTAATAAAATGGTTTGGCACGGATCAGTTTTTGCCTAAACTAATTTAGGGGTACTAATAGATGCTAATAATTAATAGTAATAATTAATAAACTAATTTAGAGTGCTTAAAACATACAAAAGCTTAGGCTATGAGATAAGAGTGGCTGAAAAACACCAGAACCACAGGAGAACTTTGCTCATACAGAGGTATTTTTCCACTCCATTCTCCATTGTGTTTGCTGTGTGCTCAGAATTGTCCATTGTCCTTGATTTATAGGGATTTCTGTTTCTGCTTTTTTTGCTTTGCCGTTTTTAAGAGTTTGATTTCAGATGAAGTATCTTCTAGAACAACCAAATGGAGTAGCTTTAGAACTATCTGGATATGAAGAGGTGTTATTTTTGTACTAACAGAAGGACAAGTGTGAACGTGCGAGCTTTGCACAGTTGAAGTATTAAAGGTATTGGAAGTATTAAAGAATGTGGTTAAATGCCAGAACAGAACATGGTTAAATTACGTGAACTGTTTTTTGTTCCTTTAAAATTGTCATTTTTACAATTTTACCTCCAAATGACTTGCTTAAACAATTGTATCAGTTGACCAATAGCTTCTACTAATAAAGCTGTACTGATGCTTCTTGACACTGCAGATAGGGATGCATGTGTGCGTGGATGCACATAAAATCTTTGTGGTCAAAGTTTTGTTTAGTTTGCAGAATTTTTAACAATGTGCAAGATTTGTTGAGACTGCATTTTGCGTATTTCTTTCGTAAATCATATGACTGATTTTATCGTTCAGTTATCTGAATATCTGAGACTCGTTTAAGTCCAGATCACTGAAAGCATGTTAGTTATGCTTGCTCCATTTGCTGGCTATATTTAAAAAGAAAAAGTATCCAGCCCACAATATAGTTGGCAAAACTTTAACCATATAATCAGTGTTTCTTTAAAACATAGCAGAGGTTATGCAGTTTGGTTAATGTGTTGTCTGGGCTGACTTACTTATGGAGTTGCTATAAAAATTGGTGACATTTATAAGTGCTTTTCTAGCATATACTCCTTGTACCGAGAACAAAACAGGAATCCCCATAAAGATGAACTGAAATAAAGTGCCAGGATAGCATCAATTAAATCACCAGCCAAGAAAAAACAGACTTTGAGAACCACGATGAGTGATGAAGACAGTGGGAAACTGTGATGTTTTCTTGGTGATATGGAAAATTTAACTGCAGGTTTTCTGATGAGATGCAAACCAGCCGAGTACAGTGATAAGTGAATGTCTCACCCATCTCTGAGCCTAGTTTGAGAAGGGAGCGTCGTGGGCATCTGCTGAAGCCAGAGCCCTCGTTCCTTTTGCCATCTAAACTAGAGGGCAGAACATCCACCATCATATGAGATAGTGTAGGTGATTGTGCCAAAAAAGACAGGAATGTTCATTAAAAAGTTTTGGCGTGTGACCCCTATGCTGTAGAATTTAAGCATTGCTGCGTCAGTCACATTTATATAAATGCATTATGTTGTTTGTGTAAAGCGAAGTAGTGAAGCTGTAAATCTTTGCAATTGTCCTGGAATTTGTAGATGAACAAAAGGGTGTACTTAAACTTTTCTATAATCATGTGCAAAAAACAAACAAAAACAAAACAAACCTTCATGAAAATTATAAGAAGTTATAAATAATATAACCCTTGAAGCAGTGCATCTTTTCCTCACATCATGTTGTTTACATGTACTTCTGAGGACAACTATCCATGTATAATGCAGCATTTTATATCCCACAGTGCATTTTGAGATATGTATCCATAAGGGCAGGCTTGTCCCTTGAGTGAATCAGGTTTGCCATGATTAAGAATATTATTCTGAAGTCCATGGTTTTAAATACTTCAGATCATTTCATGAAAGTACTGGCCCTACTCGTGCTCTCTGGAAAGCTTTACTAATTCTGGTAACTTGAGTTTTGCAAAAATGTAGCCATTTCAAGTTTATTTAGATTCTGCATTCTTTGCTTCCTGTCCAAAAATCCTTTTACAAAGTTACTAAATGCTCTTAAATCAGAGGTGAGGACAGTTGAGCAGTAAATAAAGTGTTCTGTCCAGCACAATTTATGCAACATTTTGAAATGACAGTTGATGTGTAAGTAGCAGAATGAAATGTTACTAAAGGTGTATTTTTAATTTTAGGCTGGGCGATGCAGGTTGCTGCCTTTGTTTTTATTCAGAGAAAATGGGAAGATGACAAGAGTCATTTTGAAAAAATGCTGGATTATTTCTGCGACATTCGTGAACCACTACAGCTCCTCATCTTTCCTGAAGGAACTGATCTCACAGGTAGGTTGCACTTGTCCTCACTCACGGTCATCAAGGGGTCTGTTCCTCGGGGACTGGTAAAGTCTCACTGCCTACAGATTTGCATCTGCATCCCTACGCACAGTCTCACTCCAGTTTCTCCTGCTTCCCGCTCGCGTGATTCTTCCTCTCCAAAGCTTTATTGCTGCCGACTGGGCAAGAGGCAACATGCTGTGCTGAAAGATCCAACAGGCCAAATACCTGTGGAATCTGCCAGCTTTTCCCTGAATTATGATTTCTTCTATTGGAGGCCCTGCCTTTAGCCATTAGTTTTTCTGAAACTCCTACAGGGCTTAATTATGCTTGAATCTCCTCTCTTGGACAAAATTTGTTCGCAGGTGCCATTGGTTCAGAAGTTAAAGGGGGCAGATGGATGATGTGATTGCAAAGACCTTTTTTTTTTTCTGTAAGGAACAGCCAAAAAACACCGAATAGGAAATCCTGGTAAGACC